GCATCCAGGCCTGCTGCGGGGCTGGAGCTACGACTTGAACTTGTAGTAGTGCTGGACCTACGGGATGCATGCACGCCTGCTGCAACTACGACTTGTAGTAGTGTTGGGTTGTGGCACACGCGTTTCTCCTGGCAGGCTGCCACTGCCGGCGTGTGTACCGTACGTTTGTACAGACCTGCCCGTTGTGGTGCTGAGCCTCGCACGTGCACTTGCAGTTTGTGTGGCGGTTCCTAGTACTACGTCGCTGTACTGGTGTGGCATGGCGTGCTGTGTGTGTACGCTAGTATCTCGCAGGTCAGCCATTTCCCGCCTCAGCTGTTGAATTTCAAGCTTCAAGGAAGCAATTTCATCATCTCTTCCCACCCTAATTGCCACTATTTCTTTATTCAGGTCCATTATTGTCGAGGACAATGCGGCCAAAGCAGTCGTGACATGTCCTATACCGGTCATACCTTCCAATATGGGGTGGGACCCAATCCCCTCCTTCCGGAGCGCTCCCACCAGGTCGGGCCGTGAGAAGGAGTCCGCTTTCGGGATGCCAGTCCGGGTGGCCAGGTTTTGTAGACAGTCGAACGTCAGAAGGGCCAGGTCGACATGCTCATTGGTGGCCATAGTCCGCAGTACAGGTCACAGCTCCTGTAGGTTACAGTTACAGACTCGGAAAGGCTGATAGGAGCGGAGCTCCTAAAACTGCATCCGCACTCGAATACATGCACATTATGTACAGTTATATACGTTAGCACTATGTTTGACACCTATTATGTAATGCTGTAGCACTTCCTTTGTTGTTCACACTTTTAGTTAAGGGGGTTGGGGACAGTTAGGCCCAAAAATTTAATTTCAACATCGGCCCTATCTGACATCAGGTTTGAATAGGTACAGCCTTATATTTTCACTTAGTAACATCAGTTTTTCAATTGCCTGAATAGGTCTTGCCAAAAACACAATTTTCCTTGATAACACACAATATCGCAAAATCCCAAAATTGATGAGAAATCGTCCATAACACCAGATAGGACAGAAAATATGACATAAAATTACACAGACTGTTCGAGGTATCTACTAAGATGATATCAACACCGAAAAATGTACACTTTGGTTGACGATGGGATCCAGGTCGTCATTTCCTGGAGAAGAACAAAAAGACGCAAAAAATGAAACTTTGAATATTTTTTGCAGCTTATTTTTGAGTTTGCCCCATATATGGATACTTCAAATACGTTCTATAAGTGGGTTGGAACAGGTTTACCGTGGCGAAAATAGGGGTCACCGTGCATATTCTGGAGAAAAATCCAAAAAACTGTCAAAATTTGCCTAAAATTGGTAAATTCACGTATCTATATTGCTTGTACTTCTCTACTGCTGCTTTGGTCATAGCTTATTGGATTTTTGGCTGTTAGGTGTTGCATAAACTCGCTAGAGCCCTCGGCGTTCAGAACAATACAAGGATGGAATAGCCGAACTAGTGAATTTGCCGGAATCCCCTGGGTGCACGCATTATCGATAGCTACTTTTCTCCCGGATGATTACTCTCCTGTTGGTACTTGGTTTTGATACATGTACATGTAGCTGTGATAGCGCTTAGCACAGCCCCATATCAAACTACAATGAAAGCTGACATGTTGGAACGAATCAGACAACATTGAGTCCTCTTGTTCTTCAACTATGCGAGCTAGAACGTGTCCCCACACTGGCAAAAATGATGGTATTTTACGGTGCGCACAAACAAGTGAAGCCCTGTGCCACAGGGCGTTACTTACAGTTGGGTTGCTGCTGGTTCTTGGCTAGGTGTTCAGCCACCGCTAATATTATCTTCCTTGAGGCTGTCACCCGCTTCTTCCCTCCGACTTGCTCCTTCATCAGTCTGGAACTGGCTGACTCACCACTTCGTTTGTAGGACAGGACAAAGTGCTTCATCACCAACCCAGTAGCAGCTGCCCGCACTGCAACTGATTTAGAGAAGCACGTTGCTTGGACCAACGGTTGAAGGGTGACCAGCCGCTTTTGCTGATGTTCTGCAAACTCCTTCACCAAACATGCTGATGCAAAAGTGACAGAGTGCTACAGGATACTGGCATCGGGGCGAGCTTCAACAATTTCAGCTAGGGCCGCAACAGCATCATGAGCAGCGAACTCATTCCCAACGATGAACTATAAATCAATGTGAGGCTGTAGCTTGGGAGCTCCGGTATCGCGGTTTAGGGATCAGAGTGTTCACCCAGCACAAAAATGCACACCATCGACACACACATGCGTGCACACATACACATACACACACACACACACACACACACACACACACACACACACACACACACACATGTAACACAAAACAATTATAGAACCGCAATAATGGGATAAAAGTACCGACAATCAGAATTGAAAACACTCATCATTGAACGCACTACAAAACGCAGGCCCACGCCAATACACACACACACACACACACACACACATGCTCTCACACGCAATAGAACACACGCGCTCGTACACACACATACATTCACGCACGTGTACGTACCCACCCACATGCATGTGCACACTCATGTGCATGAGTGGAGATGCCCGCATACACATGTCACACCAACATGCCCTGGGAGCGGTCATGCACGTCACGTGTGTATAGTATGTGTGCGAGGGCACGTCCACATGAGCGCATGTGCATGTTCATACATGCGTATGGTGCACACATGCACAAACATGCAGGTCAATGCAAACACACACACGCTCGCGCGCGCCGTGCATACAGTGTGCTCATACATTTCCACTGCCATAGGCATAGGGTGGAAATGACTCGCAAATATCATGAATAAATCTTATGAGATTGAAAAACACACTTACCCAAAGCAGCTTTGGTGTTGCTTGTGGAAGCACGGAGGCCAGGGTATTGAGCATAACATTCTCCATCCCACACTGCTGACACGGAATGACAAGTACGCTGCCCAGGCCGTACCTCTTCTCTTCAACGCAATCAATGAGCGCCAGAGGTTTGCCACATCCAGGATTCTGGCACGCAGACAATCCCACAGCCAGATACCTGAGATGAACGATTCGTCGACCGTGAAGAGGGGCACTGAACGACCTCTTCGCGGGAGTCGAATCCAGTGGCGTTGGTGGTGGAGATCGCCCTTTCCGTTTTTCAGGAACTCGATCGATCGTTTGAGCTTGCGAAGCGTCCCCCTCCTCGACTTCTTGAATCGTCCAGTACGCAGAATGCGAGGCCGCGTCGTGGGTGACTGGCAGATTACTCTCCCGCGTCTTCATCTCCACGACACGTCGGCAGGAGAACCAAGCTATCCAAAAACCGCCGATGTCAAAACAAATCCGCAAGTCCACTACACGTAGTGGCTGAGCTTCTTCCTCAAATCTTGTCTCGACTCGAGCACGCGCTGGGAAGTCATGGTCAAATAACTCGATTGTGCATGATCGCGTCCCATTTTTCCACTCCGAAATGCATTATTTTTCAGAAAAAAATTCGGAAATCCAACATGGCGCTAACCGTCGCGAACCTCCTTAATTATGCTGTTATAAAATGTTCTATTTTTGTACACAGTACCCTCAGTTCCGATACTATTCACTGATGAGCGGAACACGAAAATCGATTTTGAATAACATAAAAATCCTTAAAAATTCCATGAACTTGTTGTTGTCTGGCCATGTCTGCATCGATTATACTCCTAATTGCACTAATAAAATTGCTTTCTCCACGCCGACTCTTTAAATAATAATAATAATAATAACCCACCATGTCAAGTCAGTCGGCCGGAAGCGCGAGCTCCGACGTTCGGAGCAGACATTTGTCTTTCTTCACTACCCGTACTCACTACCCACCATTATGACCATGGGCCACCAATAATTCATGAAACAAACCCAGAAAAGTACCAAAGTCTGTCGGTTTTTCTGCCGGCTTCATCCCGCAATACAGTGCAACCTACAGGCTAACACTGTCTGCCCTACACCATGTACCAGATGTACACCATGGTACACTGCACTGCTGATGTTCATGTACATGTATTGTAGTTCTCCTTGTACAGGCCCACCGTAACCGGTCTGGTTGGTCAGGTCATAACCAAAGACACTAGACAAAACTGTTGGCCACTGCATATGTACATTGTAATGTTTACTGCTACGGAGGCATACACAAAAGACTAACACAAACATGTGATATGGATGGACGACTCGAAAACTGCTTCCGGTGGTCGAGTTCTAACATTTTCCTTCGTTTCCTGTTCTGCCCTGTAACTACTTCAAGTACTTGATACTAATTACTTGCTTTTTTTCTTTGTGGGTTGCTGTCTGGCAGTGTCTGCATGACGTCGAGACCCCAGGTCGGTTCGGCGGGGGGGGGGGGGGGGGGGGGGCAATAAACCTCAGCTTCTCCATGCTCCCATTATGAAATCTTTTGGCTTTGTCTGGTCTGTGAACCACGGTGTGAACTGACTGCATAGTGAAAAATAAACAACTTCGAATAACTTCAATTTCTTACAAGTAATTAGTTAGTTTGCTCTCCATAGAGGCCATGGCGATGGCGTTAGATGCAAATCTATATCAGCAGAGTCTACATGATTGTTTTCACGTGTGGATCTACAAAATACGAGCAGTCGATCTACATGTTGCAGGCAGACCTTGACTCGACGAGTCCTGTATGATCGAAATGCATTTGTGCCAAAGATCCCAGGGATTCCCAGCTCACTAAACCGTAAACGTGACTGGATCCTGCAGGAAGGGCGCTAATTTTAGTTATAAAAATAATAGTTTATCATGTGTGTTGTACATGCATACTGTACATGCCGAGTGGCTGTTCACACTTTCATGCGGAAAGTGTCAAGAAGAAGATTGTTTTCGCGCCTAGCTAGGTCACACCACCCATAGAGGCATAGACGGCCAGGTGCGAATCCGTGATGCGCATGTGTGCGGGTTTGCTCTCACTTCGACTACTAACTAATAGTAATACTTCGTGTACATACCAAGGTGATGGGCATTGGAAAACCAACCGAAGACCGAAGCAGTTCACGTTTTTAGCTGGTGTTCATGTGGCTGCACTGCACTGAGCACCTGCACCTCGTCCTAAAAACCAATGGCAATATCCAGTCAGTACTGACAGTAGTTCCTTGTGCAACTAACTTCCTGTTTTGGCATAATTGCATTGACCCGGTGTGGATATGGACAAACGCTAGACGGGCTGCTTCTGCTCGTATTCATGAACCCGGTTATAGCCGTGGCTCACCATTGTTCATCTAATATCTATCTTGTGTATTTCTTTCCAGGTGCATCTTCAAAATTCTCAGGAAATCCCTATCGCAAGGACAAGAACAATACTCGGAAGCCATTGTCCCAGAAGTCCCCAGTTCAATACAAGTCATTGTATCGTATTTTCGTGGTTCAGGCTGCACCTAATGCAGGGAGACCAGTGCAGGTCGAACCGTGCTGCTCCTGCTGCAGCTGTTACACACAACGAAGCTGGTCGGAGTGACAAGGTGCTTCCCGTGTTTCGCTTGTTTGTGAGGTGCAGGCGAGCTGGCATGTATTCCGTTCCTGATGTTCTTCCCCACCCGGACACCCAGGCCACAGCCAAGTCGCACTATCGTATGTCGACCCCCACATTGGGTCTGAACATCTGGAGAGATTCCGAGCCATGACGGCTAACAAGAGGTCGCATAGCGAGCAGCAACGCTTCTCACCTCGTTTTTTAGCTCCATGCAGGTATGTGAAATAATTAATTGCTTCTACAATGACTAGTGAAGAGACTTTGACAATGTGCACACACAGGTTGTGTGCTTCCATGACTCGGGCCGCCGTGCTGTTTGCTGGCGCTGTGAGTTAGACTTTGTCGTCTGTGTTTCCTGTCTCATAAAATCTCAGGCGCTAGGCGGCCACGTATTGCTCGCTGCTACCGAGCGGCCAGGCATGAGTGAAGCTCCGTCCGCCGCAGACCCAATTGTCTTCGGCCATCAGCCAGCTACCGCCGTGTATACTATGTACAGCCGTGGATTGTGGCCAGAGAGATGCACGGCACGGATCTAAACGCTTTGAGGCCAGGAAGAAGATTTCAATATAAAACTCCACTTGTCCGAACAAGGAAGAAAGTGCTGTTGTTCTCCGTCAAGCTCCGTCGACATCTTCTCAAGCAGCCCGCAATGCTGAAAACATGGATTTCAGTTCTGCTGGGGTGTCTGGCAGCTCTTTCCATAGCAGGCGCCTACAATATCGACTCGGAGCCCAGTCGTGTCTTCAGCACGTCTTCCGACTCGGAATTCGGCTCATCTGTCTCCTTTCACGGCTATGGATCTGAGCGATAGTAAGCGAGCATTTATCTTGTTCTTGGCTGAGCTAATTTTATCATTTCCTTGTTGTTTTCTAGGGGACAGTTTTGGTGTATTGGTAGGATGTTTCAATTGTTTGCTATTACACTGGGGTTTCAGAAGGCAGTCACTTGTCGGGACAATCATCAATGTATTATGCAGCTCCGCCTACACTACACTACGCGCGCGGAGTTGTACTGTCGGTCGCCGAAGAACTGTGAGGGGGTCACCCCCGTTGCCTAGTAGACTGATCTTATTACAGTCTATGCACAGTTGAGTCACTGACGGTCACTATACAATACACAACACACCACGGCACCCAACTTGGGGCGGTTCTGTACAATTCATTTTCGCAAAGCTTCCCCCTTCCTTTATCTGATAATGCTGACCCACCCAAGTTGGGTGGTGTGTTGCTTTGCTGCTTCGAATTGTAGTTGTCCGCATTGTCATGTTATCAACTGGTCTCGTCATAGTCCTGTAAAAGTCGGCATTCTTTGTTGCCGTGGGACTTAGCTTGTGCACATTTTCGCTGCGCTCACCTTCCCCTCTTCGGTCCTACGTAACCATGAACCTTCCAAGTAGGGACGATATTGGTTTGCGCACTGAAGGTGTGTTAGACCCACATTGTAGGTCTTAGGTTGCTGAATGCTGAATGTCGAAGTAACTTGTCAGTTTTGTGCCCTATTAAATCTAGGGGTCAAAGGGGTGTACCGGGTACCCGGGTACCCGACCGTTAATCTCAGGTACCGTTAGTAAAAGGGTACCCGTTTGGATTTTGATGAACCAGTCGGTACGGAGCAACACTGCTGGGATCGTGTATTCCAGGCGGGAGTCAATTATTTACAACTCCACGCTGGATGTCTGCATTGTTGTTGCATTTTCGCACCTAGTAGATCTACTCCTGCGACTATCGGACACCAATCGTTTTGCGAATCACAATGTGATATCGAAATGCAACCCAAGAACAGATGAATTAAAATCTTGATTCAGGTGAAAATTGCGCAAAAATTAAACATGGCTGCTAAAGGGTACCCGCTTACCTGCCCGTTAAGAAAATTACCCGTTTGTTAGTTAAAGGTACACCCGTTTGACCCCTACCTATTATCGCACTTTCTGACTGTTTATCATCTTGTTACAGTCGTGGATAGTTGCTGCATAAGTTCCCATGTGTTTTCTTTTTCCTTTTTTTACATTTGTTACTGCCTCGGTATCCAAGTTAAAAAAATATATGGTACCATAAAGTGAACATTATTAGATCTAATAATAGCTATGAAAAGTATGAATGCCGCAGACATCACCACGCAACATGACAATTTGTTCAAGGTTTGGTTTTGTGTGTTTCCAAAATCGATTTTCACGCTCCGATCATCAGTGGAAAAACGGAACTGAAGAGATCAAGGAAAAAAAAGGTTAAAAATCCAAAGAAGTGTGACACATGACGGGTAACTTGTGGTAAGTATTACAAAAAGTGAGAACTAAAATAAAGAGTAAGTGTGACAAACGGGCATGAACAGTGCTGATGATCGGAGCGTGAAAATCGATTTTGGAAACACACAAAACCAAACCTTGAACAAATTGTCATGTTGCGTGGTGATGTCTGCGGCATTCATACTTTTCATAGCTATTATTAAACTTTTATCTCCACGTAGACTATTTGTATTATTAGATCTAAAACTAATACTTGAAGCACAATAAGCACTAATCTATAGCTAGTACTATTGAGGGCGTGATTACATGGAGAGCGAGCAGTGTTAAAGCATGTGCAGATTGGAGAAGTGCAGGTGGTGAGAAAGGCACATGTATGTGAGTGTGCCGCATACCCACTCACATGCATGAGAATTCACCCCTCATCAGTTCAGCTTGAGATTTGCTGTACCGGGAGCATTAGACCATGCGTGTTCCTGGCATGGCACTGCCATTTGCTCTACTTCCCGGGCACCTAGCAGAGTGGAAAGCTTGAAATACTGAGTGCTCCAGTTAGTCTAAGTTTCAGTGTAAGTTTACAATTCATCAACAGGAGTCTTGAGCTCCACAGGTCGGAGCAGCCACCTTCAAATACTACAGCAAACGTTACATCATAATTCATAAAATTCATTCAATTTGTACAAAAGTGTTTGCCGTATCAAGATGGAATTCTACTTTATGCATAATAATCATGGTGTTTTTCCTTGTCGTTCTTCACTCTGTATGCCATGCAGCTTGTTAGTGGGTGCACCTTCCGCATCGTATACTCTGCCCAACAGCGAAGAACTGAACACCACAGAATATCCGCACAAGACAGGCGTGTTGTACAGATGTGCACTATCTGTATCAGCATCGGCAGCAGTTGAGGCCGGGACTGTCTCTGAGTGCGTACAACTACCCGTTGACACCACAGGTATTCTACTGACTGTAGTACATACCGTATTTCCTCCATTACTGATAGACCCGGTCTTTTGTTTTTTGAAGGGGGTTGGACCCCGGGCCTCTTATTTGGGCATGGTCCATTATTAGAGCACGGTCCACTATATTTTGATAGGCACATCGCTGGAAATGGTGGATCTTTAACACGTCATAATATAGAACTTCTATATTATGACGTGTTAAAAATCCACCATTTCCAGCGATGTGCCTATGAAAATATAGTGGACCGTGCTCAAATAATGAAAGAAAGCACTAGCCACTACGAAAATTGTAGCTGCGCAACCTAAAATCGCGTCCTTTTTTGATCCACCAAGTTTCTTAGTGCGCATGCGCAAAGCGATGAACTCAAATAAGAGACCGGGTCTCTTATTCGGGCATGGTCTGCTATTTTTCCGTGAGACCTCTAGGAGGGTATACTATTTGAGCATGGTCTATTATTCGAGCAGGGTCCATTAATCGAGGAAATACGGTAGTTCTGTGTGATCGGGAGGGCAGGTACAGAGCTCTGTGTGATCGAGAGGGCAGGTACAGAGTTCTGTGAGATCGGGAGGGCAGGTACAGAGTTCTGTATGATCGAGAGGGCAGGTACAGAGTTCTGGGTGATCGAGAGGGCAGGTACAGAGTTCTGGGTGATCGAGAGGGCAGGTACAGAGGTCTGTGTGATCGAGAGGGCAGGTACAGAGGTCTGTGTGATTGGGAGGGCAGGTACAGAGGTCTGTGTGATCGAGAGGGCAGGTACAGAGGTCTGGGTGATCGAGAGGGCAGGTACAGAGGTCTGTGTGATTGGGAGGGCAGGTACAGAGTTCAGTGTGATCGAGAGGGCAGGTACAGAGTACCGTTTTAAAGGTAAATCAATGGGAGAATAGGACAATGATTAGTGCCGTGGCAATGTTGTCCATACATTCTACTCTAGCATCATAGCATGTAGTGCTCTCCATTTCCATCATCCAGTCCACTCTTTGTATATTCCTATTATGGTCATGCATGGGCACACTATCTGATATACTAGTAGACCGAGGAATGGCAGGGGCGTCGGAAGCAGTTTAACATTGGTGCGGCGAAAGTGTGAGAGGTGGGTCCGGGGTCCTCCCCCGGGAATTTTTTGAAAATTGGGCCTAAAAGGCCATATTTTAATGCTACAGAATAATATGAGAAATAAGAATATGCATGCTGATGATACACCGCATTGTCGATGTAAAACATGGTACCTGTACAAGAGTCGACAAGCCATCAACAAGGTTGAAAATGTAAAAAAAAATCCAAAATTATTGTAGTGGCTTTGGCCGCACCTGCCGCACCGGTTCCGACGCCCCTAAATGGTGATATTGAACTTTAGCTGGTGGTGACTCTGGCTTACTGGACAGGATCTGAACACTGTCACCAGTCTATGTGTCATGTACTTACACACACCATGTGTCATGTACTACTGAACAGTCTCTGCTTGGACGACAGCTACACCATAGCTCAGTGGTTAGGGCATTGCAGGCCTCAAGCGAAGGTGTCTGGTTCAAGTTCTGGTGGTGAAGAAAATTCTTCAGACTTTTTCCCTTTTCCGTTCCCTAAAACTAGTGAATAAATCCGGATGAATTCCTCTACTACATACGTACATGGCTCGTGCAACCCTGTCTATCTTAGTGCTGAAGCAGTCCCAATCAACAGCTTGGCAATGTGTTTGATCACTCCTGGTGGTCGGGGTTTGTAGCACGGCACACTTACATATATAACACCATACAGGGTCTGCTAAATCTAATCGTGGAACTCACATGTATATCACCATACAGGGTCTGCTAAATCTAATCGTGGAACTCACATGTATATCACCATACAGGGTCTGCTAAATCTAATCATGGAACTCAGGTGTTTGCACTGCAGTTCTAGTAGTATGACTCTGATCATAGTTTGTTTGGTGGTAGCATGCATGGCACATGGCGTGGCATGGCATTTGAGGTGCTGTGCTGTGCCATTGCGTAACTATGTTGCTACTGCTGCTGCTTGTTGTGTAACGCACGCACAACAATTATTCACCACTACTACTCCGCACATGCACACAGCACTCACAACGGCGGACTCTGACAGTAGTGTAAATAAAAGGACTGATACTTGGAAATGAATTAGTTAGGTGAGGATATAGAAAACAACAACTCAATCTTGGGAGAGCTAATCAACAAGGAGAAATAAAACCGGAACTCCACGGAACCGGCGGGGGCGGGGCAAGGCGACGTGGAGAATCCCGGCTGACGTGTGCGAGTACGCACGCGGCGCGGTCAATGGGGCTTCGGCCAGCAAGCGTGGGGACTAGGGGTGAACGAGTATTTTTTTTGACCAATCGATCACTCATTCATAATATTCGATCGAGTATCCGATTATTTCGAGTATTTTATCGAAATTCAAAAGCGCTAGATTTGTGAGTTCTCGAGCAATTCGGAAGAAATTATCTGTGAACATAGAACAAAAGTCGCCAACGTCTTGTACAGAGTGTAAAGTAACGATTTTCACCAGTACTTTCATTATCTCAAAACAAAATAATGTTACTTGCCGTGGTGATCGCATCGTCCAAGTCATAAAATACTGACTAAAAGGCACGATTAATGCATGCATACCAGTCGATGAGCAGTGCAACAGAAGTTTTTGAAAAATAAGAGGCCAGTACTAAAAAACAAAAAAAAACAAAAAAAACGATCGAGTGCAAAATTTCGAATACTCGCTCGTTTGAGATTTTCGAACGAATACTCGAATATTCGAACTAATCGTTTCACCCCTAGTGGGGACGCTAACCTTTGCAGCAAGCGCAGCATGCAAATAAGGCAGAAGGCAAAAGCAATGCGCATGCTCGCAATAATGACGCGTAGCTGATAGGGCATGACGTCAACACAACTCGTGAAAATGCCTACACAAAAATGTGTTCGAAAAGTAACCGTGAGCTACGATGCAGGAAACGATCTCTGCGATCTGGCGGACAATGAAACAATTCGAAACTAGACAAGTTGACAGTCAGTGAGTCAGAGAAGAAAGGAAACATGATAATAGCAAGAGAAGAAAGGAACAGAGCAGGCGCGGAGAATGCAGAGTATGGATCACAGAACAGAACGGTAAGCAAAGTCTCAAAACGAAGAACACGACGTACAAATTCAAAATCTATAACTTGAAGCAATAAATAAACGTGCTGTATGGTATCAAATACTTGTGGAGAGAGAGACGAACTATTCTACTTCATGCTGCTGCTGCTGTTAATGGTGTAGGGGTCCCAACGCATCCCAACACTCAACAGTATACTATCAGTTATAGTTACATTACATTATATTACTGAAACGGAAAGCCATCTTTGTCTCCAACCAAAGCAACAACTCGCGGAGCAACCAAAGAACAACTAAACTGAAAAGAAGAACCACATGGTTCAAAAACCAATACACAAACCCGGCCCGTATCGCGTATGCCAGCGACACGTGCATGAAAGCAAGTGCAGAATGCAGAAAAGTAGCTTGCATGAAAAGTGCGTAGCGTTCACACCTGTATGTGGGTACCACTGCTTCTGCTGTAACAGCTGTTGGCACTGTTGCTGATTCTTCCATTGTCACTGTTGCTGTTGCTGATTAGGTGAGAAACCTATGGACAGTGATGGACTACAGGAGGTGAAGTCCAACATGAGATTGGGTGAAAGTGTTCTAAGCCTCGGTCCCAACCAGCCAGTCATCGTAAGTAAGAGTTAGTGTTCACGGGGCGGGGTGGGGAGTAGGGTTCGGGGGGGGGGGGGGGGGATAGGGTTGTGGTGTATGTGTGTGTGTGGGGGGGGGGGGGGAGTAGGGTCGGTATGCAGGTGTCATAGTGGGTCATTTGTTCACCGGGAACTAGAATGTCGGGAAGACGTTCACTAAACACTCACTAAGTTTAAGTAGTTAGTGCAGAGGCAGCCCACTTTCAAGTACTGGTCAGAGTGTTCCGCCTGAGCGCTCGCTTCTGTGGGTGTCTGAACCTTGCTCTCCTTGGCCCCGGAGTATGTATTTTTCATGCTTTTTTTGGTGGTTTGAGCTCATGAAGCGCTTGTCACACCCAAGATTTATGTGCAGCAGTGCCTGCACTTCTTTTCACCAGTGTCGGTACATGTGTGCCGGTTCAGCTCGTCAGTTCGAGTAAAAGCCTTCGAACAGCCGTCAACTGTACACCTGTGATGGGTTTTCGCCAGTGTGGGACCAGTGTTAGACCAGTGTTGGACTACTATGAGCTTCCTTGCTGGTTGATTATACACTGGTTGCTGTGAAGTACCCTGACGTAGAGTGTGCGTCAGCGTCAACGCGAGTCAACGTGTGAGTTTTGCACTGAACGTCCTCGTCGGCAGAGGTCACGGACCCCGGCAGAGAAAGCCACTGTCGGTGGGTCGGTGTGCAGCGTGCCGTAGTGGGTAATTTGTTCACCGGGAACTAGAATGTGAGGAAGACGTTCCTAAACAATCACTTAATTTTCTTAATTTAATTAGTTAGTGCAGAGGCAGCCCATTCAAGTACTGGTCAGAGTATTCCGCCTGAGCGCTCGCTTCTGTCGGAGTCTGGACCTTGTGTCTCCTTGGCCCCGGAGTGTGAATCTTCTCATGCTTTTTTTGGTGGTTTGATCTCATGAAGCGCTTGTCACACCCAGGATGTATGTGCAACAGTGCATGCACTTCTTTTCACCAGTGCCGGTACACGTGTGTCGCGTCAACTCATCAGATCAGGTGAAAGCCTTCGAACAGCCGTCAACGGTACACCTGTAAAGGGTTTTCGCCACCAGTGGACCAGTGTGGGACCAGTGTGGGACCAGTGTGGGACCAGTGTGGGACCAGTGTGGGACCAGTGTGGGACCAGTGTGGGACCAGTGTGGGACCAGTGTGGGACCAGTGTGGGACCTGTGTGGGACCTGTGTGGGACCAATGTGGGACCAATGTGGGACACTTTCCAGCAATGGGCAGATCTGAGGTTGAGGTGTGCGTGCATGTGTGCATGTATTGTGGATAATTTCCCTGTTCTTTCCAAAATGGTGTTGTCTATTTCCAGGTCTGTGCCAGTCACTATGGCTGGACTTCACCATGTTTAAGACCATCCATACCTGAATGTGGTGTGTATGAGCAGTTCACACCCTGCAATCCCGGCAGCAATCACAGACTGTATGACCCAACCGGCAAGTGTATACTACTCCCTTCCAACCTGTCTAGTCTTGGACAACACACCACCACTAGCAGGAAAAGCACAACGACCATTGCACCTGCGAAGTCAGCCAGGCTTGTCGGGCACGATAGGACGTTGTTTGCATGGCGTGGTAAGCGATCAATCCCGCATTACAATCATTCCCGTTCCTGTGAGAATACGGACAGTAAACATCTCATTCTTTTGAATTTTTCCAGTGACCTGCAGAAAGTATTTGGTTGGGTACTTTCTGGTGCTTTACATCCAAACCAAACTGATTTGGGCAAACCACCACAATTCAAATTGCATTTTTAATTTCAGATTGAAAGTAAAAAACTGCAAAAGTCGTATGGTATGCAAATGATATAGCGATGGACCGCAAAAGGTAAGGAATGTATAGCAGTGCAAGTTGAGGCTTGCCCAAACCAAGCTGGTACCTACGGAACGAATGACAGAAAGAACTGGCCACATGCAAGCCAATGCCACTATTCAAACTGTGAGACGCAACCACCCTCTCATTTACCCTATGGGAAGTTTCCCTCCTGCTGGGAAGTTTCCCTCCTGCTGGGAAGTCTCCCTCCTGCTGGGAAATCTCCCTCCTGCTGGGAAGTCTCCCTCCTGCTGGGAAGTCTCCCTCCTGCTGGGAAGTCTCCCTCCTGCTGGGAAGTCTCCCTCCTGCTGGGAAGTCTCCCTCCTGCTGGGAAGTCTCCCTCCTGCTGGGAAGTCTCCCTCCTGCTGGGAAGTCTCCCTCCTGCTGGGAAGTCTCCCTCCTGCTGGGAAGTCTCCCTCCTGCTGGGAAGTCTCCCTCCTGCTGGGAAGTCTCCCTCCTGCTGGGAAGTCTCCCTCCTGCTGGGAAGTCTCCCTCCTGCTGGGAAGTCTCCCTCCTGCTGGGAAGTCTCCCTCCTGCTGGGAAGTCTCCCTCCTGCTGGGAAATCTCCCTCCTGCTGGGAAGTCTCCCTCCTGCTGGGAAGTCTCCCTCCTGCTGGGAAGTCTCCCTCCTGCTGGGAAGTCTCCCTCCTGCTGGGAAATCTCCCTCCTGTGGGAAATCTCCCCTCCTGTGGGAAATCCCCTCCTGTGGGAAATCATAGCATATTCTACTTGTAGAGGGTATGAGCAGACTTCCCAAACACTGATTTTCTCCGACCCTCTCCAACAAATTATTGTCCATGTTGCTATATTGCCGTACTTGTATTGACAGCATTGTTCCATGCAGTAACTGATAGCAAATTCACAGGCTACCTGTGCAACGGGTGGGGTGGTTTGATGGGAAGCATGACTGGAATGGCATTGGCTGCAACCCCGATGGTAAGTGCAATTCTCGTTGAGAAAGATCAAATCGTTAAATGTGGGGCGCAGAAAAACGTAGTTAGCCCAGGCACGCGCATCCTGGCGGTGGAGTGCTGCGAGCGCGCGTCACGTGACCACCTCGTGACTAAGCCGCGTGCTCAGCGTGTGACCTGGCATTACGGAAAATCGTATATATGGCACCTAATTTGGAGACGTGTTATGCTGAGCTGTATTGGTCCGAAGGAGCGTTCTTTGCAGTTGCAGTTTGTGTGTAAATATGTAGTTTTTAGTTATAACATGCAGACCAACACGCGGGCCTGCTTGATGACACACTAGTACATGTAGTACACTGGATAGCAGTTAGGTAGCCCTAACATACATAATCATAGTGTACATGGCCGTGAGATGGACGATGGGAAAATACTGTTCATATAGCGTTACGTGTGCTGTATCACGAGCACTTAGAATTGATCCACAGTGCCGGCCGAATGCTAAGTTTGTCAATAAAGATTTACATTTCAACATTCTCATTTGTGTTCTGCATCGCAAGTATCAAGGGTTGACAAGGTGCATCAAGATTCCCGCTGTGGTCGGGTCTTTCTGTCTTTCTCCCTAGCCTAATCTGTGCTATTATTTCCGCATTCTAACTGCAGAATGTGTCGGAGCGTTTTCCCATGTCACGGATTGCGATGGGAGGTCCAGCTACTTTCCAAGGCTCTGGTTAGTTTTTCTCCTATTCACTGTCTTTCCCACTGCTTCGAATACAGTTGTTTGGCTATTGTTTCAAGTGACCCACCGTTGTACGACACCTGTGCTCCTCTACACCTTGATACGATGCATTGGAATATGTGTCATTGGAATGTGTGTCATTGGAATGTGTGTCATTGGAATGTGTGTCATTGGAATATGTTTCTAGAACCAAACTAGTTGGGTGGTCAGTTCTTTAGGAGTTTCATGAGTGGCTCGACATAACAAAGATCGAGTCGTCTGATGGTGATGGGTTTTTGGGAGGATTTTTGAGGGAAGTCAGTGATTTTAAAACTTGTGTTCTTTGCCCATTGAAATGGGTAGATAGCCCAGTAGAAGGGTGTCATTGGCTTGGAACATGTTGTCACCAGAACTGCTCAATTTCATCCAATACTGCTTTTGGTTATTAGGCAGGTACCATCAGTGTATGATTAATGGCCACTTATAACCACACGGTCCACTGCTGCAGATACTATACAAATATATTCGTGTTGTGCTCCCGGTTTATTTTCCATAAGGTTTATTCTGGACATTTGATGTCCAGCTGCCTTCATCAGCAACAGAGCCAGCGACTTTGAGTTCTTCGTCGCCACCTGAAGTGAAAAACCTGAGATGGCATGGTGTGGAGAGTGCAGCCGGGGAACACAGCACAATGACATCATATGCCATTGCACACGGGGATTTCGACGGTGATGGAAACCTCGGTAAGAACGGCTGTTTAGACATTGTATTTGTGTACATCAGTTTGTTAGTTTGTTAGTTTGTACTCTTCTTGACTACTGAATGGCTGAATATTTCTGCACAGCAGCTTAAGGATGATTATGTGTGTGTGTGTGTGTGTACGTGTGTGTGTACGTGTATATATTATGTGTGTGTGTATATGTGTGTGTACATGTGTACGTGTGTGTACGTGTGTGTGTTGTATGTATACATGTAGCGAGGTCAGGCACGTGACGAGTTGAAGGACTTAGCTTGTCGCGCTTGGCCCATTGAAAATCGATGATGTAATGGTACATGGGCCTCACTGGCATTTTTCGATTTTTACGGGAGGTGTACAAAACCGGCATGCATTTGAACTTTGCTTGTGCAGTCTCCTTGCTCCTTTTGGGCGATTTCAACTTTCTAGTCCTTTGGTAAGGATATGGAGCAATGCCTCCACCCGCTTGCGCGACGTCCAGGCGCTTGTCCGTCGACACATGTCTCGCGCTTTTTGCCAATGTTCGAGGGCGGGTTTCGGTCCTTGTGCCTCTTGTTACGCCTTAGGTTGTTGCGGCATCATGCTCAGAGCCCCCTAATCCTTTGGACTTCAAAATTTCATTGGCGTAACAAGAGGCGCACCGAAGATATGGCTCCAAATTGGTGTAGCTATCGTTAAAGGGGAAGTCCGGTGAAAAATTTAAATTTCAGGGTCGGTAGAGTTTCGGCCGCTGAGTCGAATGGTGTTGGTCCCACGTGTCTCCGACAAAGCGTTCTCGAGATATTTCCGTTTGAAGAACTGAGTTTCGGGGGCTGCGCCATGACGTCATGCGGCCGCGCCACACCCTCCGCAACGTCATAGCGTGCAGCTAGGTCAAACGACAAAAGGAGTGCGTGAAAGCAATAGTGTCAGTGCTATTTCAAATGATTTGGCGACCCATAGTGGGTGGTGCAACGACTCCGAAGACGTAACCCCTTGGGAGAGTGAGGATGCAGCCATGGCTGACCTTCATGAGTTCGGTCTGGGGCTGAGAACCTGGGTATTCAGCTGAAGAAATGGCCGCGCGGGCCGGTCAAGAGTGAGCGCTACTGAGTTTCCGACTGATGAAGAAGCAGCAGCTATTGCAGACGAGGATCAGATCGCTGGAGAGCAGAGTCGCCAAAATAGAGAAGAGTGATGCGAGTGCTAAAAATTCCATACCGATTCGCTTAGACTCCAGTAGCCTGCCACATGGTGAAGTTTTGGTGCGAACTTGGCATATTTCGGACTACTCAATTGGAGAACAGTGCAGGCTCTTTGAACCACGGGCATGGCACGACTCTTCGCTCGCAACGCTACGGGATCTGAAAGTTCTAGGTCCGGAAGCTGTTCGCTGTTTTGTCACTTGTCATGGTTGTGCACTCATCGCTGTAGCATAAAAATTAATAATGAGGCGGGAGCAGAAAACTAAAATTTCTTTCTCAAGGCACAACCACCAGCACCGGCAAGGAGAAACGCTCGTTCTCTGACTACATGACTGTACAATACGACTGATAGTAGTGATACGAGTGTAGTACATGACAAGTCCGTGTGTTGACTAGTTTTCTGAGTCTTGTTGTATCTACCTACCCTAGTACCCCAGCACGGCAGTGCGGGAGTAGTTCCGTGTGTGATGAATTTGTTGACTACTACTAGTACTACTTACTAGTAGATCTACACTACAGCTAGCATGCACGCAGCGCATTGCTGAGCCGTAGAGGACAGTGCATGCCGACGGAAAAAGTCCAACTCGGAAACGGCTAAAATACGGTATAACCTCGAGGTTTACCGAGCTGAACATCAAAGGGTACGTCGTGTTTGTAACACTGAATCGAATGGTCTTAGTCCGAAGAAGCTGCGACAAACGGTTCCCCAATCGAACGCGCTCCGAGTATGGCCGTTTTGTACACATCTAGATGGTGTGGCTACCTGGCTGCACGCTGTGACGTCATCATCTGGATCTGGGTGAGGTGCGCTCAAATTCGCACATGTTCGATTGGGCGTATCTGACGAACCATAGGCCGCAGCCTCCTCGGACAAAGACCATTCGACTCAGCGCCCCGAACTCTACGGACTGTGAAATTTAAATTTTTCACCGGACTTCCCCTTTAAGCGTGGAGGCAGTGGCAGTGGAGCCTGGAGGATCGTTTTGTGAAATGACTGACTAACTGGCGTGTGGGGTCGTTTTGTGAAATGACTCATGACTAACTGGTGCGTGGGTTCGTTTTGGGATATGGCGTCTACAGCCGTACAGCCTACAGGTAACTGGGTTGTGGGATTGTATTGTAATAATAATGGCTCCTCACTGGTGTGCTGGATCGCCATGTCGAGCGTGGGCCATGGGCAAGCAAGATAAGCAACAGAAGCAAGCAAATCGCCGTCAGTTTGATGTAGATTTGCTTGCAGCTGGTGTACAGGTTTTGGTGTATACTCGTACTTGAAGCTTGTGGGAAAGCAAGGCAATGGCTACTTCTCCTTCACTGGCTTCAGCCTCAGCCAGCTCAGGCACTAGTGCAAGTACTGATTTGGAAGGCTATGACTTTCTTGCACAGTTTTGTCCCGATGTACCGTATTATCTCTATTATAAGCACAGTCTCCAATAATAGCACGTCTCCAATAATAGAACACCTTGGGGCGGCATTCAAAAAATAAAGTGCTCAGTCTCCATTATAAGCACACTGTGTAAATTCATTATCTGTACAGGCGAAAAAACCCTGAAATGTGTGTGTCTGACATGAATTTGGCATGGCAACAAGCCTCTGAAATGAGGTTGAAATAATAATGGAACAGTCTCCAACAAAGGAACGTCTCCATTAAGGTGGCTCACACCCTCTGCGCGCGCATCGTTTGAAAAGTGTAGATTTTCAGTAAATTTTTCGGTAGCGATGATTTTTGTCCGAGTAAATCGTTGTAGGAAACGTCTTCTCGATTTTCTGCAATTCTGGCGACCTAGCTGGAACCTGCTGCTAGTGTCCCTCTTCACTCGTTCTTTCTATGAAAGGGGAAGCACTCGCAGAAGATTTTCCAAGAATGCAATGTCGACTGGTGCTCGTACTATAAGAAGGGAGAAATCAAAGTCCGCTCTTGAATCATGCCTGAGTCTTAGAAAATTATTTCAGAATACGCTTGTGTAGATTTCCTGCCAGTGCCACTGACATGTCGCGACCTCAGTTCAAATATGACTTGCTCGATCATCTCCCGCACTGACTGGCAAATTCGTCAGGTAGCTGTGGATGGATCGATTCAGGGAGATCGAAGGTAAATACATCGAAGCACTTCAAACACGTTTCAAGACGCACTTCAAATTTTGTAATTGTGTCTTGAAAATTGTTTAGAACAATTCGTACTTCAATACGCTGTTGAATTGTATCCTCTCCTTGGGAGTGTCGACTGTTTTATTGCTGCTTGGCGTTCCTCACCACCGTTCACTGTACATGTATCGCGGAACGCAGATTGGATGGCATTGGAGGTGAATTTGATAATTTGTGACTGTGTCATCAACCAAGTGAGGACATCAGATATCAACAGGGACGCTCTGAAAATCACAAACGCTGCGAAATAGATATGAAATGGTCTTACACACTGGTGGGTATTCCACATTCATTGTGTCATATCTTTAGACTGTCCGAAAGTTTGTCGTGCCGCGGCGTGCAACTTTCACAGACCAATCCGATAATTGGCATTTGGCCCTATTGACGCACACTCATGCGTATGCCGCTGAATCTATCTATTATGTGCACGCATGTGTGGGTATACATATACAATTTTATCACGTATGCAAAATTAGGCAATCTACGTGTACATATATATGTGTGTGTGCACTCACTCCTATGACGTAGAACGACAGTGCAGGCTATGTAAAGTCGCACGAATGTGTGTGTGATGTGTACATGCATGCGCGCGGGCGTTTTGTGTACGCGCTCGCGCGGGCGTTTTGTGTGTGCGCCGGGCATGGCATAACGCTGTTCAACATGACTAGTGTTGAACCGTGGTAATTTGCCCCCACCCCCTCTTTTTTCTACTGGCGTTGGATATGCAACTATGTAATGACATAAACTCGGTTGTTGAAAACGAGTGCCATGCACCACAATGGATTGACAAGAATATAATACAAGTAGCACTGTAAAAGCGCTGGTAATACTTACGTTGCAGCCATGGCAGTTGTGATTAGCTTTCCAAGTCAAGCCTGCTGCAGAAATGATTGCACTCTGACCAGCTGGAGTAGCCCAGGACTGCCGGTTGTTGAAAACAGGAGTGATGCGTGTATATACGCTTGTATTTACATGATTTTACTTCGAAGAACGTGTATTACTTGTGTGTTCTTCTGCCTGTGCTGGTCAGTGTGGAACCACCATCCATATCAGATCATACAGCTGCTATCAGTCTCAACAGCTTATATCTGGCAAACAGTGTTTTAGTGACTCAATTTTGCTTACTGTGTTCAACAGAGTGGCATTTCACACACAGCTGCTTGATGTAATAGTAGCATCTTGGAAATTTTATATTTTTGATAGTTAGCTTCAGTAGAAACTTCTCCAGTGTGGCTCTTAGCTTCATTACCACGAAGACTTGGCATTCAAGTAATGCACGAAGAACAGTGGCTAGATGTGAAGTGAAAAGCCATTGGACCGCACCCAGTGGAAGACGATTTTAGTATAGAACTGAAGGATTGCTTGCTATGTTGGCAGCAAACACTGTATAATATAATTATAATAATTGCATTACCAGTAGAAAGTGCTCAATGTGCCTTGCTTCAGCACTATGTTTTGGACAAAGCAGTCAACAAATTCCACATCACTATCGGCTTCATGTTGGAGAAAGTTGTGAAAAACATTAGAGCATACATGTACACTCAATACACATGCTCAGCTACATGTATGGCATTTAGTATGTGGGCGACTTCAAAGTTCTATTTTGATAGTTAGCTTCGGTAGAAACTGTCTAAACCTGATCCAAAGCTCTACTACTATGTTCTGATGATGTTGCAAT